AAGTGTAGCCATCTATGTGTAAAAACAATCGAACAAGGCGACTCACAGTGGGCATGGCATGTACGTACATGCCATCCCTGGCAGCAATGGGTTAAACTCTAATTTGTATTGTTATGTATAATTTTATGATATCAATATTTTTATGTTTCTTGACCCAATCGCCCCACGTGGCAAGAATAGATGCCATACCCACTTTGATACACGTTTATTTAATGTATTTACACATAGATGGCACCAAATAGCCAATTATCAAGAACTATCTATTTCACCTGTTTACTCTTTTCCTTCACTTTACGAAAGGGTTTTTTGTATCATTTCACTGTCTAAAATATTCTAATGACAATTTAATAATCATAACATCAATAACAATAATAACAGTATCGATAGCAATGGTATTAATTTTCCCGCCAATTCCATGAATGGGAAAATCAGGTAACTAGGGCCTACTGATAGACTCCTTGCCAGCTGAACACATGTGGAGCCATCTGTATGTAACAAAATTCACCAAAAACTACAGGGGACAGAACATAAATCCGGGGCGAATGGGTTAAATGCTTTGCATTAAGTGTAGAATGGTGGGTAAAAATGTTATATAAGCAGGAGCATCTGTACTAGATGCCCTGAAAAATAAATAAATAAGTATATGATTTCCTATATCAATAAACCTCTTCGTAATTATGGCTAACATGCAAGAATATCTGTTCCATAATACCAAATAACCTGTCAGAAAGAAAGCAAGTTGAGAATAAAAAGATTGTTTGACTTTTTTTTAGTGTCCATTCTCTGAGTAAATTTCATTCCTACATTTATTGTACTTTTATAAACACTATATCAGAGCAAGGAGAATAAAAACCTTATTATGCCTCCTTTCATTTCCGACCTATGTATAAATACAAAAACATCTTGGAAAATCTCCACAGACAAATTGCATTTACCATGTCTTTAGCATCAAAGCCTATCAACACACTGTAAGATAATGAGGCAAGAAAAGTGAGTTAGAGAGCAGATACTTAAAAATCACTGATTATCCCTACTCTGTCTGTGTACTTCATACCTGGGACAAGAAAAATGGCTGACAATATCTGTGGTCATCACTTTAAGTCCATTATAGCAGTGCACTACTATGTTATGCAGTAAGTATCATCTATCCCCTATCATGAGTTCTACTCTTCCATCAACCACAGCAGTTTGAAACTACTCATAGGGAGCAGCCAGTTGGGGACCCCCCCCTCGGGGGTGCACTTCCTGGTTGGAAAATTCTTGGCAGAGCTACTACATCTGATGAAGTTTTACACTTATATTCATTAAATCTGCCAAGTTATGGTCTGAAAAATATATCCCCTCTCTGTGTACTTTTTTTCCATTTTGCTTGGTAGTATATATAACAACTTTTGATGTGCTTGAAAATACAGCCGCATGATCAGCTGGGATGATTCAAGGACATAACAGTTAGCCTCTCAAAACATGACTTCTTCCTCTCTGAAATGTATCTCCTTAGCTTTTTATGTACCAATTTTAAATGAAATACTCAACTGAAGGGGAATGTGATATTTTCAAAATTAATGGCACATAAAAAACAGATATAAAGAAAATGACACTGTTGCATCACATACCGTACAATGACCTTTCCTTCGTGTGAGACACATGACTATACAATAAAAACTAGGAGATAAATATTTTAAAAATCAATTTTGGAAGGGGAGAAGGTCGGGGAAGTTTTACATGTCAGTTCTAATTCATATAGTGGTCTTGACTTCCCATAATATTTTCATCTCAGTACAATCAATAATAACAACTAGTATTTGTTATGTCATTTGAGCTGGTACCACTGTGTGTTGGAGTTCAAGAATATGTGAAATAATGAATATAGTAAAATGTTCTAAAATGTTAACCCTCTTGCCCTAATGTAAAGTACACAGCATGCAGAAGGGGGAGCAGAGGGTGTAGCCCATCAAGGGTTGAAAAAATTGTAGTACTAGAAATTTTGAATCAGCTCTGTTAATTCTGTCCTATTAGTGTTGTAATTTGTCTTCTTTGGAATGTAATGCAAGTATTTTGCAAAATGATCTTTAAAGTTTTTACCTGTTGACATGACAATAATCCGGATGACATGACAATCACATCACATAAAAATTTGGCTTCAGAGGTGGGTGACATGAACATGCCATCACATGAAAATTTTACCATGGGCCAGGGTGATGCAAACTTGAAGTTATGAGCATTTCAACTGAAGGCCAGGGTGACTATAATGACTTGCCACAAGTCGACAAAACCCTTGAAGGGTGATTAGACTCATTGGCATTTATGAAGGTCCTTAGCATTATTTCCATCAGTAAAAGAGTGTGGAATGTACAGTCCATGAACAGTGACTAGAAGAACACCAGCTCAAGAAGGACACTACTTCCATGCTCAAGAAACTAAAAAAGTTTGATCTGAAAAAGAGAAAATAGCATTGCATGCAAACACACAAGTATTTGTGTGCAACCAGCAATGAAGAATCTGGATCCAATGTGTTAATAAACTTTTATTTTTAAGTTTATATTGTTTGATTATATACATATTCAATTTTGATTTGGAATTAATATGTATATGTATCAAAATAGTTATTTTTTCCAAATATCACATACAAAGGAAGTGTTACTGAGAAAAGCAAAGAACAGCAAAAAGAGACGTATTTCTGACAATGAGGCATGTATGTACATTGCTGCTTACATCTGTTTGCAAGTGAATGTTAAGTTTTAAAACTGAGATTAATAAAAACATATCTGAGATCATCCTTGTCACAAGACCAACTGACCAACATAGCTTAGATGAAATTGAGCAATAATTAATATGCTATTTCATGTTTCATCTGTTTTTACACATCTAGAATATCACTCTTTCTCAGTACTGGGCTTTATCCTCAAGTCTTTGGGTATCCAATCAAGAAGTTAGCCTCAGGCAATACCAAAACTCTACAGGCACTGCTTAAAATTGTTTGTAAAAATCCAGATCCATAAATAAAAAATAAAATTCTTCTTGGACCTCCCTGCCAATGTTCTACAAATACAGGGAAAGCTAGGTTAATGTAGTGTATAAAAAAAGGGAAACTAAAAGAAGCACATACATTCTCTCCCTGGCAGCAGGTGTTCCCAGTGCTGGACCCTGATCAATGTGGGCATAGTCAACTCTGAGCCAGAAGGAAGCTGTCTGATTTCAATCTATGAGGCAACACAGGAGAGGAGAAGCACTTCATGTAGTGAAAGAACATATATAAATAAGGGCCCCTTTATGTGTTATAAGGTTCAGCAACCAGTAACTTATCACCCTTCTGATCAGGCCTAGGTGCACTATCTGGGGAACTTGGGGGGCCAGTGCTCTTTGGCCAGGCACCAGGGCTGAGGCTGGCTAAAGGTATCTGGGCTTTACCAGCTTACCTGACAGAAAACCTATTAGTTTAATGGTAGAAAACTCCTGTTGCCAAATGTACAGGTTCCACTAAAGGATTACTTCAGACATGTTCACCACAATAAAGAACATAGAGAAGTATCATTCTGTATTATCATATTAAACAATCTCATTAATGCCATGAATAATCAGCAATCTTAGTTGAATGTAGAATCTCTAATTCCTTGGAAATAGCCTGGATTAGGAGGGAAAATTCTGTACACTGGCTTAAACTAGACAACTTGTACATCTATTGCATACACAAACTTAACCCATTTGCCCCAGAATTTTTTGCATGTCGCTGAACCCCACTCACGGGAATAGTTGCCAGCTGTGTGAGAACCACTACTGGATTTTTTCTGGCGCGGTGCGGCTGCGCAAAGACTATCATATCAATTTTGCAGGAATCTGGCCATATATCTTGTAGTAAAGTTGGGTTTTATAAAAGGGTAATGTGTAGAAACTGCACTTTTCTCATGGTGTTTTCTAGGCATCCTTTCGCCTTTGTATTGAGGAGAGATACTGAATCGCTTACAAGTTGTCTATATTAACAGACGACATCAACACTTTGATGCTAAAAGTTATTGTTGTTTTTGAACAATAGGTCATACTATGGACTTAACCGTTTTTTTGTTGTTTTTTTCAAATTTTCAAATGAAGCAAAATATGAAGCACAGCAGCAAGCCAGATACTACTTTGATGCTCAGAAGTAGTGCATTGTCCATATGAGAGATCAAACCATGTTTTTTTTTTGTTTTTTTTTGTTTTTTTAACAGAAAAGGAATAAAAGCAGAAGTGAATGTAGCATCACTTTGATGCTCAAAAATAGCTTTGTATTGATATGAGAGGTCACACTGTGTATGTTTAATGTTTTTTTTTTTATACAAGACTTGTAAGAGAGAGTAGAGTTCATTTAGATTATTTATGAATGATAAAAGTTGCTGTTTTTTTTTATATAAGAGGTCAGAATGTGGACTTTGCTGCCTTTTTCAATTACAAAAAGGAGAACAAGAAACAGAATTGTACCCATCACCATTTTTATTTTTTTACTTATGCCAAATCTTTTTGAGAGTGATGCCTCTCGAAACACCCCTAGGTGCATAACGATACCTCACATGCCAGACATACAGTCCACGTCATCTTCCTCAAGTCCTTCCCTGAAATCTGGAAGGAGAAGGCAACGTTGACGGGCGCCCTCGAGAATTGTAGGGCTTGAGGTCCGGAACAAAATTGTTTATTATGGACATGGCCAGGTCCAGCCGAAAGTCAATCAGCTCCGTCCTGTTGCCCAAGTATTTGTAAACTGCGTGGCTGTTCACAGTGGCCAAGTCATAAATAAAAAAAAAAAAATCTTCTTGTACCACTTCAGTGCCCTATGCACTGAAGGGTAAGACTCTGCAAGCTGGTCCCCCAAGTCCACTCCCTTCATGCTGTCGTTGTAGGCAATGGCGCACTCTGGCTTCGCGACCAGCAGACAACATCACCCAGAGGCAATAAAATATGCCATTTCCTATGAAATGTGAATTAAGAGTACTAGATTCTGTCAATCAAAGGAAAATTTTGAACTTGCCTCATTGGGATGCATGTTGCCAAAGTTTGTAATCTCTTAGACACCATAAAATTCTGCAAGTTTCTTTGGTCCAGCCGGGGCAGATACTCCACTTATTCCCTGTTAAGGACATCTTTAGCCTCAGAAGGTTGTGCATGTCCCCAGCCCCCAGCACAGTCCAAGGCCAATGATCTAAAGTCTGATTGTTGTATTCTGCTGCCCTGGAATATAAATACAGGATATATCAACAGATAAATATGAACTATTCAGCAAAACAGAAACATGACATATAACATAAAAAAAAAAAAATTAATAAACTCTAAGGAAGATATCTTAACCCATTCGCACCGGGTAAAAATGAACAAAAAACGGGGAAAATGCTGTGCTCATTTTTTATATTTTTTGGTGAAATATCTCTACACTAGATGGCCCTGCCTTACCTGATTTCATCTTTACTTGAATTGGCGGGAAGATGTATTTTTACTAGTGCTATGAATATCGATGGTTATTTTTATTATAAATATTATAATTACTATAATGTTATAAACATTAGCAACAGCAAAATAAGATAACGCAAAATAATTTCGTAAATTAAAGAAAAGGGTAAACAGACGAGACAGGCAGTACAAGTACAAGTGTAGCCATCTATGTGCGAAAACATTTAAACAAGTAAACTCACAGTGACCCTGTCACGTATACATGACGCCTGGCGCGAATGGGTTAAATATTACAAGTAAAAATTAAACAAGAATGATATAATAGTAGCCTAGATTTTGTCAGTTATCATCAGTTTTACTTTTGAGTAATCATGCCCTGTAGTTTTAGGAGGCACAGCTCTAGAACCAGTACATATATTCATTCTTTTTCCTCTTTACTGTAATTCATAACAAGACCTTGTACACTATAATACTAGAGTACATCAGTGAAATGCAGAGGTTCACAGTAACTGATCAATACCTTTGCTGGTATTACTGGAAATTGTTAAACAAAATTACTACTAAACTATTCCTTTGGTGATAATCCAAAACATATAATCAATTTCTTTTTCTTTTAAAGCCTGAGTAGACCTACTTGCTTCTTTAATAATTCTTGAAAATTTGGTAAAGATATTTCTTAATTATTCATTATGATAGCATTGCTCATATCAAATGGGCAATACACACAACTGCAATCTAAAAATGAATGTACTTGACACAATTTTTCTGTGTCTTCTGAAAGATAAGGAAAATTATACCCATACAATTTTCTGCTACAGTTTTGTATGTGGGCATTCACAAGATGTAAATAAGGGAAATATTAATAATAACCCACACATTTGTCACTGTCCTATACATAGCTTCACATTTATCAGCCCTATAAAGAAGGTAACCCAACCACATATACAGGTAAGAACATGTTTTGAGAAGGCTGACAAGCTTTATTTTGTCAGAGTATACACAGTGAAGGTTAGTTGACCAGTTTCAGAGTTCAGAGCACAATTAACCAACATAACTGCAAACCAAGGGGTGCTGGAACACTAAACTGGGCCTAGTCTTATGGTGCAGTACTAAGTTCTTTTCCCCTACCTTGATGCAGGTCATCTGAGCCTGTTAACTGCAATGTGTGCGACAATTAGATGACCATCTGGCACTACACATCTCTGCTTGGAGGTGGACAGTATTCTATTATTTCATCTGGATTTCCCTCAAGCTCAGCTGGGATCAGAGCATGAAGATGGCATTCTCCTCTTGTTGCAGCAAATAAAGCTGGGCAAGCTGAAAGGTAATTAATATTCAATGGTAAAAGTTCAGTATATGACCACCAATAAACTTTTTTCCTTAGAGACATACTGTATCTTGCTGTGATTGGCAACTGTTAATAATAATTACCTGAATGAAGAAGTGGCGGAGAGTACATCTGGTAGATTCTGCTTCACATGCCAAATTTCCAACACATCTGAGGAGAAATTGTACCAGTTCACTGATACTGTAAATCTTATTTGAAGACCTTAAGATCAGCTTCCATGATGGGATGTTGGAGTTAAAAAGGCCTGCAAGAGAATAAGTGATATCAATGAAAAAATTCACTTTTAGAAGATTATCTTTATTTCATAATTATACTGGTTATGTTCTATTCAAGTATAACTAAAACTTGCTTTGATCTATAATGGAAATTTCTGTTTTATTCACCTGAAAGAGCAATTCTTGGTCTCTCTTGTTCCTGTCAAACTTGTGCAAAACCATGTCTCTTGGTCCTCCCAGAGTTGGCATGGCTTCTTGCTGTGAGGCCAATACACAGTCTTCCACAAAGTGCCGTGATTGTGAAAAAAATCACATGCTCTATGATCATGACAAAAAAAATTGTGTATTGTCTCAACATAACTCATGTCACGGCCACTGCAATCTCCAGCTGCTGTGCTCGCCATCATGATATTGAAGAGAGGTTAGGCAAGAGCAGTGAAAATAGTCCCAGGCCTGTAATACCTGTAATATGAACACCAGCTGTAAGAATGAAAGAATAAGAATGTGCTGAAATATTAAAAATAT